AATAAAGTCCAGTTGTTTTTATATTGAACGCTTTTTGAATTCATCATGTCCTGGATGATTGAGAATCTTCACCAGCATAACCCAGTTAAATAAATGAGACAAATTTTTAAACTTGGTCATTTTTTTATTTAGGAAAATGATCCAATATTACATATTTGTGATTGTAAAAGTACGTGAACCTCTTGGATTATCAGTTAATTTGAAGGTGAAATTAGAGTCAGGTGTTTTCAATCAGTGGATGAAAATCAGGTGTGAGTGGACACCCTGTTTGATTTAAAAAACAGGATCTATCAGAGTCTGATCTTTAAAAGACTTGTATGAAATTCAAGACCATTGTTACCCTCCCCTGGAGTGGTGGACCAACAAACATCACTCCAAGAGCAAGGAGTGTTATAGTCAGTGAGGTCACAAAGGACTCCAGAGTAACTTCTAACAACTGAAGGTCTCTCTCACATTGACTGATGTTGGTGTTCATGAGTCCACCATCAGGAGAACACTGAACAACAATGGTGTTCATGGCAGGGTTGAAGGATAAAGACACTGCTCTCCAAAAATAACATGGCTGCTCGTCTGCAGTTTGTTAAAGATCACGTGGACAAGACAGAATACTGTTGGAAGAATGTTTAGTGGACAGATGAGAACAAACTTTGTTTAAATGAAAAGTGTTATGTTTGGAGAAAAAAAACAACCTCTACATTCCTACAGAAGAACCTTATCCCAAATGTGAAACATGGTGGAGGTTGTATCATGGTTTGGGCTTGCTTTGCTGCATCTGGGCCAGGATGGCTTGTCATCATTGATGGAACCATGGATTCTGAATGATATCAGAGAATTCTAAAGGAAAATGTCAGAACATCTGTCCATGAACTGAATCTCAGGAGAAGGTGGGTCATGCAGCAACACAATGACCCTCAGCAGAAGTGGTTCTACCAAAGAATGTTCAAGAAGAATAAAGTTCATGTTTTGGAACGGACAAGTCAAAGTCCTGACCTTAATCCAATCTAGATGTTGTGGAAGGACCTGAAGCAGCAGTTAATGTGAGGAAACTACCAACATCCAGAGTTGAAGCTGTTCTGAACAGAGGAATGGGACAAAATTCCTCCAAGGTGTTCAGGACTGATCAACAGTTACTGGAAATGTTTAGTTGTTGCTGCACAGGTGGAGTCACACCAGATACTGAAAGCAAAGATTCACATACTTTTACCACCTACAAATATGTAATATTGGATCATTTTCCTCAATAAATAAATTAACAAGTATGATATTTTTGTCTCATTTGTTTAACTGGGTTCTTTTTTTATCTACGTTTAGGACTTGTGTTAAAATCTGATGAGGTTTTGGGTCAGATTTGTGCAGAAATATAGAAAAATTTAAATTCTTCACAAACACGAAAGCACCACTGTATGTTTAGGCAAAAATTAAATAAGGAAAAAGAAAACTGAATAGTAATAATAAAGAAATGTCCAAGCTGTCCTTGAACAGAAATGAACAGCAGCTTGTCTTCAGAGCAGCAGCTACCAATTAGACGCAAATTCACACTACAGTGATTGTGACATCAGAACAGTGTCATTTCTTAAACAAAAGCAGAGAACCCGCACACCTTTCTCTCAGTTGAATAGGGTAAAGTAAAGTTCGTATCTAACTCATCACTTTCGGTCAGTGTCACTGGTTTTGGCGGAGAGCACACAGGAAGTGTGTCTGTTTCTGCTTTTCTGGTTGACTCAGAAGTTTTCATATCCACCAACTTAAATACAGTCTTGTTATATACCTAAAGATGGACAAAACATTAAACACTTGTAACCTACCAGCTCCTGAACCTAAAGTTTTGCCTTTCTGACCACAAACAAGAGGTTTTTCAATATGACATGCAACTTGTAGAGCATGAAATGACAGAAACTGAAAGTGTTACTTATCCCTGTGTTGCGAAATGTTTAATGCAGAAATATTTTAGCACACAGAGCACTAGGAAATGCAAAGATTAATTTTTACTTGTAGTTTTTTACCTTTACGGATTTATGTATTTTATCCTGTGTTGTTTGCTTGTTGTTTTGTTGCGCAGCACTTTGGTTGACCTTGTTGCTGCTTTTAGGCGCTTTATAAATAAACTGGTATGTATGGTATACATGAAAAATAGAACCACAAGACTCAACTATTTTCATCTTCACCAAATTTAATTGGCAGGAAGTTTTGTTTCGATAAACAGTGGTCTTTTTTAATGAGAACTAATTCTTTAAAGTGTATTATTTTGCACAATGCTCTATTTTTTTTAAATGTAATCCTAAATAAGGTTTAAAAATATCACCAATGCATATAATATAGAGTCATATTGGGTTCTGCAGAATCAAGCAAAAATCGTTAAAACCTCCTCCAAAGAAAATGTTCCTAATTTCTGAGATCACATGCATATCTCGAAAAATTCTGGATAATCACATATATCTTCTAACCTTAAAAAACAAAAGAATCTATCAGGAAAATAAATATAACTCATGACAGATGAAAAGATAAATGACAATTATAAGGGTGCACATACTGTGAAAGCAAACCCCTAGAAGCAGCCCGATGTGGAGTGAGTACAAGGAACAGCTTAGGCAACGAAAACGACCACCAACCATCTCTGTGATGAGAGGAACAACGTCTGTTTCCTCTTCTGCTCGCTGCATCTTGACAAGTCAGCACAATAAAAAAACGAGGGGATGGAGGGTGGGTGCGGCTTCACTTAACAAGAAAACAAGAAGCATCAGCGAGAACACATTTTGAAACAACAAAATTGATCCACATAAAATTTGAATAGGAAGCTGCTAATCCCGAGTATGAAAGGTTGGACTATTAATTGCTATTATTTTAGCTGAAATTTAGCTACTATTCTTTCTGAATTAATTGCGCAGACCACTTACTGATTGCTACAAATCTGCTACAACAGATCAGTTCTAAATTACAATTAAAAAGACATCACTTCCTGTCATTACATACTATGCTGGTGAAGATTCTCAGTCATCCAGGACATGATGAATTCAAAAAGTGTTCAATACAAAAACAACTGGACTTTATTTGTAACAGAAGACGTTTTTTCTGTCTGTTGTTCTCCTTTTTCTGTTTAGTAGTGTATTTTGTAGATTTCCTCGCTGACTTGACAAAAGCCCAGTTAGGATATCCACATGTTTGAAGAGCTTCTTGAATGTGTTTCTGTTCTTTTTTCTTCCCTTCTGTCTTCGTGGGGATGCGTTCGGCCCGATGCTGTAAAGTTCTGATGACAGAGAGTTTGTGTTCCAGTGGATGGTGGGAGTCATACAGAAGATACTAGTCTTTGTGGGTTGGTTTTCTGTAAACTTCAATGTTGAGGCTGTCCTCTTTTTCCATCTGAACCAAACAGTCCAAAAAAGGCAGCTTGTTGTCGTTTGCATCCTCTCTGATGAACTTGATGTTGTTATCGAATGTTAATGTGCCTGGTGAACACTTTTATTTCCTTAGCTTGGATTTTGACCCAGGTGTTTGACCCAGACAGAAAAACATTGTCATCCCTTATGTTGCTGGAGTATCAGAGAAATTCAGAAGGATTTTCAACAAACACAACATCCCAGTACATTTCAAACCCAGCAGGACTCTCAGACAGAGACCGGTCCACCCTAAGGACAAAACACCCATACACAAACAGAGTGGTGTAGTGTATGCGGTCCAATGCAGCGAGGACTGTCCAGACCTCTACATTGGAGAAACTAAACAGCCTCTTCACAGATGCATGGCTCAACACAGGAGAGCTACTTTCTCAGGACAAGATTCAGCTGTTCACCTCCACCTCACAGATAAGGGACACTCTTTTGACGACCAAAATGTGCACATTTTGGACCAAGAACACAGATGGTTTGAGAGGGGTGTGAAGGAAGCAATTTATATAAAAAGGGAAAAGTCATCTCTTAACAGAGGAGGGGGCCTCAGATTTCCACTTTCAAAAACCTATAAGCAACTTTAAGACAGATTCCCAGCCGGTTTTCACACTTCATTGAACTGAAAAAGCTCCTCGGATGAGGAGCGAAACGTCTTCTGTTACAAATAAAGTCCAGTTGTTTTTGTATTGAACGCTTTTTGAATTCATCACATACTATGAAATCAAGCTTTTGTTCAAACCAGTGATTCTGGCTAGTCTGCAGCAGGCGAGGAGACTGTTGAGTCTACAGAAGGTGGTGAGACCCTTGAGTCTGCAGCAGGCAGTGCAGAATAGAGGTCGTCGTCTCCGACACCCACGGAGAGGGGCGGAGGAAAAGGGTTGTCGCCTTTGATACCCTCAGAGACAAAAGAGTGTTTGTTGTTGTCCCCGATGCCCATGGATAGACAAGAGGAAGTGTCATGGCTGAACCCCATGGAGACACACAAGGTGGGTTTGGATGCTTATCTGGCTGATCAGGACTCAGCTGCTTCTTCACTTGAGCAGGACTCAGCTGATCAGGACTCGTGGCTTCTTCGGCTGAACAGGACCCGGCTGCTTTCGCAGTGAGCGAAGGCTCGGCTGCTCCCCCCATCCCCCCACCTGCACAAATCTCCACTACTGTCTTGGCTGCATCTGAGAAGACTCGGATGGAGGGAAGGGCTGGAGTTCAGCGGATCCTGTCCGGTTCTGCTGTCGGCCCTTCTTGCGATGGAGATGAGGAGGATCATTCTCCTCCCCCGGATGACCACTTGGGAAAAACAGGAGGTGACAGGGGAGGCGGAGGGTAACGAGGTGCTACAGCAGAGCAAGGCGGCAGAGAGAAGTGAGACGATGGAGTGGGGAATCAGATGGGTTTCTTGGAGGTGAACCGTCCTACTCTCTTCCTCTTTGATCAAAAGAGGGGATGGAAGGTTCTCCACCTCAGGACTGTGGTGTTTTTATCTCTGGACAGGTCTAAGTTCTTGCATCCAAAAACTGCCCTATCGGATGACAGGCTTCTCTCCCTCTTTCTCTCTCTTCTTTCTCCTGCTGGGCATTGTTATCTGCTTCACAGGCCAGGAACTCAAAAAGAGATATCTTCCTGCCGAGTTCAGTCTGGTCTGTGGATTCTATCATGTTCTGCTATAATATGTTGAACCCAGGTGCAGGAAAGCAACAGGAAACTCCAAAAAGTAAAATGTCAGAGGAATTTAGGTAAAGGTTTATGGATGTTTATCATTGCTAATGTTAAATGCTAAACCATGTGTTTGGGATAGCAGAAAGAGCTGAATGAGGAGCTGCTTTGATAGTGCATGTATAGCTGGTACTCTAAGGTCATCTCCGAGTTTGTAAGCTGGATAACCGAGGTCCTCTTGACATGCTTCTGTCTGATAACCATGTATTATATAAACATATATCTCACATTGTCTGGTTGCAGATTCTCACTGATGAGGCATGTCATTTTGTACATCTGTGAAAGCCTGTTTCATGACCATCTGCAAGGGAATTTCCTTAAAAATCTTCTGATTTGTGTGGCTTCTTCTTGTAAGTAGAAAATGAACATATATTTATTTATCCAACATAAAATACTTAAGTTTATTTTCAATAAAACAAAACAAAATGCTGGCTCGGCAGCAAACTTACTCTTTAAGAAAGGAACACAGAGGGAGAAAGAACACAACAGCCATCGGAGGACAATCCACAGGTAAATGACAAGACACAAGGATGCTTAATAAATAGAGACACTGACGAGGTAGAAAGACAAACACCTGGGGAGATTGGGATTAGGCACAGTTGAGACAGGAGCTGAATGCAAGGAAGAGGAACACAGAGATGTGCACGAAACATGAGGAAACCGAAAAGACAAATCAAACCCAGAAACTCCACACATTTGAGGAAATGTGGTCAATTTGTCCTCCACAAGTCTAAGCCTATAGCAGCATAACTAAGGGATAAGTCTCTGCAGTTCAAAATCAACTTGACTTTCAGAAACAGGAGCATGTTCTACATAATCATATTTGTTCTCTTGCTGCAACACCATGTCACAAACTTGAACTGATCCCTCATCCTCATGTGCGTTGATTGGAGCAGCCAAAACCTCAGGGTCTGAGACTGTACCCAGATCTAGGATAGTCCGTGCATAACTCTGTCCTTCACTCATCTATACCTGTTCTGCTTTGACTCTGATTGTTGAAGTTCCTTTGCTGACTCGCTCCGAGTCTCAACAGAATGTAGCTCTGAATGTGTGTTCCTTTTTCTTACAGAAGGTAGGGCTGAACCAAGCGGGGAAGATGGCCCAAGAGGTTCCAGAATCAGGAAGGCAAGTGGCTGGAGGGCAAGGAGACAACAGAGGCAGTCCGACAGAGGAATGGTTTAGTCACAGGAGGTCAGGATCCAAAAAGAGCTCGAGCAGGAGGACTGTAACACAACGAGCACAAAGGCAAGTTAGGTATTGAATCACTAGTTCACTGTGGCCAGAAGCATAAATACCAGTTGACATCTTAATGCTCATGCAGAGAGTTGAGCTCAGCTGCAGCATTCAGTACTCCTGGGTCCTCATCAGGAGAATGAGTCACAGGTGTTGCTAATTAGGCGCCATCTTGTAACTTGGAGGTTACAGAAGGCTGAACTCTCAGTGGCGGATAAAGCCCGTCTGGTCCAAAATTGGTCCAAAATTGGCTTCAATTTGTTTTAGTCTGAGGATATGGAGTACTGGAGCAAATCAAATGACAACATCTGCATCAAGCCTCATTAGTTTAAGTGGGAGCACAGACTGCTGGTCTTATTTTGATCATTAAAACCCATAATGGAATTGAGGACAGCATTTCTGGAGTACATTTCGACACCAAACATTTTTTTTCATCTAGCCTTTATTTATACAGGTAGTCTCATTGAGCCACGGGAACTCATTTTCAAGAGATACCTGTTTAGGGAGCAGATGGGGGGTTAAGGGCCTTGCTCAGTGGCCCAGAGTGGGACGAATGAGGGTGGAGGCAATTGTGGGTGTTTCACCTACCCCACCCACATTTTTGATGTTGTCGGTACTGGGGCATGAACCGGCGATCTTCCGATCACAGGCCCATCTTCTCTAACCTCTGCGCTACCACTCCCCCCTAACAACATGATAGAAGTGAAGTAGAAGCATTCACCAGACACATTAACTTTGTTGACAACAACATTAAGTTCACAAGAGAGGATGCGAACGACAACAAGCTGCCTTTTTTGGACTGTTTGGTTCAGATGGTAAGAGAGGACCATCTCAACATTGAAATCTACAGGAAACCAACCCACACAGATCAGTACCTTCTGTATGATCTCACCACCCACTGGAACACAGTTTACAGGTCTCTCTTGAAAATGAGTCCTTGTGACTCAGTGAGACGAGCCTGTATAAATATAGGTTGAATAAAATAAAATAAAAAAACACAAACTCTCTGTCAACAGAACTCTACAGCATCGGACTGAACACGTTCTCACAAAGACAGAAGACAAACGAGATCAACAACCACTCATTCACACCTAGTGACAATTTAGAGTTACCAATCAGCCTAACATGCATGTTTTTGGTCTGTGGGAGGAAACTGGGGTACCCAGAAAAAATACAAGCATGCACAGAGAGAACATGCAAACTCCACCCAGAAAGGCCCCCAGCCGGGTTTTGAACCGGGGTAATCTTCTCACTGAGAGGCAGCAACTTTACCAACTACACTG